AACCTTGTGGAACAAAGTTGTGGGAACCTTGTGGAACAAAATTGTGGGAACCTCGTAGGAACGTTGGAACCTTGTGGAACAAAGTTGTGGGAACCTTGGGAGCTTTGGGAACCTTGCAGGAACCTTGGTAACCTTGTGGGGGCCTGGCGGGAACCTTGTGGGGCAAAGTTGTGGGAACGTTGTGGAACAAAGTTGTGGGAACCTTGTGGGAACCTTGGAGCAAAGCTGTGGGAACCTTGCGAACCTGGCGGGCAGCTTGTGGGGCAAAGTTGTGGGAACCTTGTGGAACAAAGTTGTTGGAACGTTGTGGAACAAAACTGTGGGAACCTTGTGGGAACGTTGGAGCAAAGCTGTGGGAACCTTGGGAACTTTGGGGAACAAAGTTGTGGGAACCTTGGGAACCTTGCAGGAACCTTGCATGAACCTTGCAGGAACCTTGCAGGAACCTTGCAGGAACCTTGGGAACCTTGTGGGAACCTGGCGGGAACCTTGGAACCTTGTGGGAACCTTGGAAGAACCTTGTGGGGCAAAGTTGTGGAACGATGTTGTGGGCACCTTGGGAGCCTTGTGGGGCAAAGTTTTGGGAACCTTACCTTGCAAAAAAGTTGTGGGAACCTTGTAGGAACCTTGAAGCAAAATGGGCAAAGTTGTGGGAAGCTTCTGGGGACCTTGCAGCAAAGTTGTGGGAACCTTGCGCGAACCTTGGAGCAAAGCTGTGGGAACCTTGGGGCAACCTTGGAGCAAAGTTGTGGGCACCTTGGGTGCTTTGTTGGAAACTTGTGAAGCAACATTGTGGGAACCTTGGGGGAACCTTGTGGGGGAACCTTTGGGGGCGCCTTGCAACAAAGTTGTGGGAACCTTGGAGCAATCTTGCGGGAACCTTGGGAAACTTGTGGGGCAAAGTTGTGGAAACCTTGTGGGAACCTTGGAGCAAAGCTGTGGGAACCTTGGGGCAACCTTGGAGCAAATCTGTGGGAACCTTTGTCTGGGAACCTTGCAGCAAAGTTGTGGGAAGCTTGTGGGAACATTGGAGCAAAGCTGTGGGAACCTTGGGGCAACCTTGGAGCAAAGCTGTGGGAGCCTTGGAGCAAACTTGTGGGAACCTTGGGAACCTTGGGGGGGCCTGGCGGGAACCTTGTGGGGCAAAGTTGTGGGAACGTTGTGGAACAAAGTTGTGGGAACCTTGTGGGAACCTTGGAGCAAAGCTGTGGGAACCTTGCGAACCTGGCGGGCAGCTTGTGGGGCAAAGTTGTGGGAACCTTGTGGAACAAAGTTGTTGGAACCTTGTGGAACAAAACTGTGGGAACCTTGTGGGAACGTTGGAGCAAAGCTGTGGGAACCTT